AACACACACACACACACACACACACACATACACACACAAACACACCCACACACACACACACACCCACACACACATGCACGAACACAAAACACACACATACATACACACACTCACGCACACTCACACGTCGACGTACACAAATGCATAATAATACCATAAGCTGAGGTGTTCCACACTGCAGTGCTGTGTACTGTGTAGACCAACCAGCAAGGTGATTTAAGGCCACTCCCGCCTGAGGCTGTGCTGCTTACTCCCAGTGTGTTACTGTGTTATTGCCCTCTGGCATTCGCGCTGTCATCATGTCGAAAAGGATGTCTTTGCTATTTTCTCCCACTGGGCCCCATTTGCATACAAGCCCATTTATTTATTTGTTCATTCATGCATTCATTATGTGGGCTCGCTCTCGTGGCTTTAGAGGTTAATTTTAAGGTGTTGACCTCTCATTCAAAGGTCCCGGGTTTGAATCCGGGTAGCGACCGAAACATTTTCTTCTTTTAAATTATCTCCTTCTTTCACCTCCTTTCCTGCTCTCTAGCAATGTTCTGTCGTCTCCTCTTTCTGCCCCCACTCCTTCGCCTCCTTTGCCCCCTACTCTGGGCTCCTGACTCTTTCTGTAGCCTTTCTACTGCTACTCCTTGGCTCCTTCTTACTGCTGTCTTTGAGCCACCCCCCTGATCTTCTGGTAGGAAAGATTTTCACCTAGCCTTCTCGGACAAGGGCGAAAAACCTCGGAGGTCCCGTGTGCAAATTGCGCACGTTAGACCCTTAATTGGTGGTCTTAACCGATAAGAGTAGGCTTCGGCCGCCACCCGGGCAAAATTCAAAATTTCTTACCTACTGAAAAAAAAAGTTTAGTGTGTCCCACGCTTTAATATGACCTTATGCAGTTTCGAGCACCGTAAAAATTCATTCATTCATACAATCGTTCGTTCGTTCGTTCGTTCGTTCGTTCGTTCGTTTGTTCGTTCGTTCTTCTTCTATTCATTCAATCTTTAATGAATGAATTCATTCATTCTTTAATTCAATCCTTCATTAATTCATTCGTACATATATTTATATATATACACAATGTATATTTGTACAGCGTCTGTACATACGCCTGTGACTATACTTACTGATGAATAATATCAGGTGTCTAGTTTTAACATTATAATTGTGAACAATAGTATTTATTTAATACCATATTTGTCTGACTGTGGGTCTCTGAATGTAAGCATGCTATCATTATGTTTACAGAATTTTGTGTATGCGGGTGCATGTGAGCGTGTGTGTGTGCGCGCGCGCGCGCGCGCGCGAGTGTGTGCGCGTGTGTGTGTGTTTGTGTGTGTGTGTGGTCTGAGACATCAAACCAATGTGCCTGCCTCTGGACAATAAAGATTTATCATAATCTCGCCCGCCAGCTGTTAAAATGTGATGAGCGCAATTTAAAATAAAAAAAAAATTAATTAATATCTGAAAGATAATATACATGAATTCTAACAGCTTTTAAAAATAATGTAGCAGTTTCTATATCTATTTGTATTACAAGTTGCATGCGCAGTGAAATATTGTTGAAATTCAAATTTGAAATGTTGGACTTTAAAAAAAAAAAAAGAAGAAAAAAAGAAGAAAAGATAGAATCTACACAATGTAGGAACAATTGTTAAAAGAATGGACAAGATTTTTTTTGGGTCCTGTAACGTTTTTTCCTTTCCAGACTTGACATT